ACACATCAAAAAGCCACAACACAAACACAAATGCCGCAATACATTAAAAAGCCACAACACAAATGCCACAACACATTAAAAAGCCACAACGGAAGTGACCGCGGGACTCTATTTTCCGACGGACCGATCAAGCGGCAAGTGAAGAAGAAGAACTACAACGTGAAACGAATAATGATAAAACAATAAATTACTTTTACTTAGGTTTCCGACTTCTCCGTTCCTTTACTTTTCACGTTGTAGTTCTTCTTCTTCACTTGCCTCTTGATCGGTCCGTCGGAAAATAGAGTCCCGCGGTCACTTCTGTTCTGGCTTTTTAATGTGTTGTGGCATTTGCATTAAAATAGAGTCCCGCGGTCATTTCTGTGTGTTGTGGCTTTTTGTTGTGTTGTCGCATTTGTATTTGTTGCGGCGTTTGCGTTTGTTGTGACCCTCTCGGCTTCCGTAGGATCCAGACGGTTCCAGAGTTTTACACCACACACAGACACGTAGACAAACTTTTACTTTTAGTTTGAACATTTTGTCCCTTTGACATTCGTTTAAATTATGAGTTCTCGCTTTCATTTTGAACAACAAGGAATATGTAAATGAATAAAAAACTCTAAACATTGTGTCACTGGAGATTACAGCAGATTTATTGGTTTACCAGAGCTCTGAATTGTGCTTAAATCTTTACACCAGCAGATGGCAGTGTTGTGTAACTAAAATCTGTTTGGAGTTTTAGCAACACTTTCACATTCAATGCAGGTACATCTGTTTTTATAAAGTGTATCTGACTCAAACCGCACTTACAAGAGAACACCTGCAGGGGGAGCTCGTGCAGAAACTACTATTTATGCAGAAAAAGTATTATAAAAATATGTATTTATATAAAGACAGATTCATTTTATTTGTGAATTATGAGTTTAATCTGCCAAAAATATACAAAATCTTCAGCTCACTCAGTCACTTCTCCTTTCTGCTGGTGTCCCATATAAATCCTAATAATCTAAATAAAAAAATTAGTCAAATTAACACAAATTGTGGTTAACTAAGACTTCACGGGCTGATCGCTACAGTCGGGTCACGTGATTCTGGCATCTGGATGAAAAAAAAGTCCAATAAAACTTGATGTCTGTCATCAATAAAGATCAGATCAGACATACAAGTGTTTATGGACTAATAATAACCAAACACGTTTTTGTCAAGATGGATTTCATGTAAATAGACTGGATTCTTTGCTTTTTGTCTGAGATGTTGAAATGATCAATCTTTTAAGAGCTGGAGCCAAGGTTTTTATTCATAATCAGGATCTACAGCGTCATAAACAACACACCACAAGGCATCGCGAGAGTCGGGAAAACAACGGCGAACAGCGATAGGTATTGTAAAGTCCAAACATTTGTGAAGCCGTAGTTGACGCTTTGCGCACCTTGTTCCACCTTTTAAAATGCTTCAAAAATAAAAGAATCCACGGAGAGCGAGATCCAAGTGCAGTTTAAAAACTCTTTACTGAGGACTCACATTATTAGGACAAACAAATACAAACAAAAAAAGGGGAACTTTAACACATCGGTGACAGGAGGTCAAAAAAACTGTCTGGCTCCACTCCACCCTCCCATGGTGCACCTGTTCACGTCTTAAATAAGGAGCCGTAGACGACAAAATAATACAAAAATTAAACATTACTTAGGTAAACTTATGATTAACATTAGCAATAATTAATTGAAAGAAAAATGTAAATAGATTAAATTATTTTGTAACAAATAATCAACAAATAATCATATTAACCATAAAGAATTAAGAAAATACCAAAAATCACGCATTTTAAATAAATATTAAATCAAACAAAATAAAAATAATTATCTCAGTAATGAAAAAAACTCCAAACTGGGTTTATGCTCCCACAGGTATTTAACTGGATGCAACATGACTGAATGAAGCAGAAAAAAGCAGCGCTGGTTTATGACTCTGTAGATCCATGATTCTGAATAAAACACAACAAAATAAACCGTTTATTTAGTCATGTTTTATTCAAAATCAGGATCAGAGTTTTCCCGGCTCTCGCGGTGCCTTGTGGTCTGTGGTTTATGAAGTTATGCCTGATTATGAATAAATCTTTAGCTCCAGTTCTTAAAAAAAAAAGATAATTTCCACATCTCAGACAAAAAACAAAAAATCCAGACAGTTTACATGAAATGCAGCGCGACCGAAACTCGAATGAACACTTGTGTCAGTCTGATCTGATCTTTATTTATGACAGAAATCAAGTTTTACGTTATCAGGTTCTGAGTTTGTTTTTCATACCCGACAGTTTCGACTGCTGAAATATCGGAAGACCAAATGAATCTCACCGGACTAGAAATCAAGTTTTATCGGAGTTTTGCTGACTTTTTCCTCACCTCAGCCCGAGTCACGTGATCATCACCTGAATGTAGTGATCTGCATGTCCGAGTGCACTGTAGGGGGCGCTAAAGAGTGTAAGACTTTGTAGTGAATGAGGAGTTAGGGACATTTGGACACTTAGAGCTTAATAAAAGTGATTTCTTCATGTAGTCTGCACTGAAACGGAGCAAAGGATCATGGTCTATGTAGTTCCCGTTGTTTTTTTAAGCTGTTGCTGCACCAAAAACAATGACGATACGATATCACGATATTTCCAATATTGTTAAATCTCTATAAATAAATGACATATATACTGTTTTGTTTTTGTTTTCTTTTGTGTGTGTACCTTGTTGTCCATGTACTCGAGCCAGTGCAGGCCCAGGTTGGTGACGATGCGCGGAGTCCCGTCATCCACCGGCAGAATATCGATCTTAAACTTCTGCGGAGCCGCCGTCACGACCTGGAACGAAACACCAGCACGTTTAAAGATCCTACATCACACATAATTGACTCTTGTGAGCTTTACTTCATGTTAGAAGTTTGTTTCCTCATCAAAAACAAACCTGGACTTGCATTTTAATTCATTCACAAGTCTGAGTAACTCTTTATTATTAAGGTGCTCTGTTCCACCTTGTGATGTCATGTAGAGATAGTATTCAAGTTAGTTAGTTCCTTTTACCTTCAGTTAAGTAGAAATTGGCAATTGCAGGACTATAATTATGTATATAGCAATAAGGATTCTTGCGAAGGTGTGAGGAGTTTTAAAACACAGTTGAGCACTTGCTGTATTACCACATGACATCACGAGGTGGAACAGAACAGAGTGTTTTCAGTTTGAGAGAAGAACTCAGTCTGAATCTGCAGGGTTTGTGTTAGAGATGCGCGGATGGGCTATTTTTTCATCCGCAACCGCGACACAAAACTCATCATCCGCCCGCTGTCCATTTTGCACCGAAGGTTTTCAAAACCGCACCCGCCCGCCATCCGCCGATTGATTTTAGATTTTAGAACAATCATACAGCAAACAAACTAAGGAGCCTCGATAAAAATGCAAACTCTATAGCTCATTCATTCCAAAATTCGCTCAGCGTGTATGTCCACATTCTTAATTGTCCGTAACAACCCCAGACTTACCTGGTTTTCTTACGCAGCTAATTAATTGACAATGTTTTCCGACTAGGCTATTTTTGAACCTTCTTGCCTTCGTGTTGGATGTTGTTACATTCTGAACATTCTGCCATTGCCCGATGTTATTTCAAAGTCATAGCCTCACTCCATCGGTCTTTCTTTAAGTTTTAAATACCCCGAGTGGCAGTCTACGCTATAATGTCTGCGTGTTTTAAAATATAACTGATATCGAAATGGCCCTATAGCCACTTATGTGTTGGCAAACAGCTGAAATAAATTAGAAATAATAAAATAAACTGCATATAATATGTGCCTCGTAAACCTTAGGCATCAATAACCCGACACAACCTGAACCTTCAGAACATAAAAACGAGGTCAAATGGGCTAATTAAGGACATGACGTACACTTCATACTACAAGCATAGACAATGAGACTCGTCTTTTCAGATGTAGGTAACAATACTAACAATTTTTTTTTTTTTTTAGTAGTTAATCCGCCACCCGCCCGAATTTAATTAAAATATAATTTTTCATCACGTCATCCGCCCGACCCGCGGATTAACCGTGGATACCGCGGTTGTAACCGCAATCCGCGCATCTCTAGTTTGTGTGTTCAACATGTGTGAAGTGCTTTATAATTAGATACAGATATCTTTTACCTCAAGAGCTGCTTATACAGAACAATCTGTACTGAGGTAAGACACGTTTTAATCAAATACATAAAGAGATGGGTTCATGTACATTTCTTTTTAATACAATTCTCAAAATACTCCATGAAAATAAAAGTCAGAGGAAGATAGTTTTTTCACGATACTCAAATCTCAAACTCGATTTCGATATCAGACTTGATACTCAATACTGATTCCACATTGATAATAGAAGAATAGTCGTACAAAAACACAGAGGATGTGAGAGCTTCAGGGGATCTCAGGCCCCATAGTTCGTATTTGAGTTGTTTTCGTTGTGTTTTCGTTCACACTAATCCGATGGAAAACGGCTCCAGAGACGGAACGACCTGGCACTGTGTGGACGCCTGAAGATGTTGATACTCTGATGTAGGAATTCTTGTCGTGTCCTTATTGGACCACATCACTGTGACTCGCTCCTTCCTGATTCGGTTCTTGACATCGGTCATGTGACGCTATTGCGAAAAACATGCGGGAAACAGCGTGGCCGTGCTCGACGTAAAATTCAGTGTTGCATTCTGTAACAACTGAACCTCGTCGTCGGTCCACAAAAACACTGTTTTCACGCTTGCCATCTTCCTCGACACAAAATCAGCTGCTGCAACTTCAGACGCGGTGCTCCACTTCCATGTTTTTACCGCCCACATGACGATGTGACAACGTGACGGCAGCCTAGTCACGTGACTAACGTTTCAGGCAGTTTCGCATTACTGTGTGGATAAGGAAGTCTGTGATTACGAACACAGATACAGTGATACAGTGGTTCGGTGATTCATAGAGCCCTGCACTCCCGCGGGACCCGACGCAAAACAGAGCAGCGCGGGACACATTGTGAAAGCTGGAGCAGGACTACACAATGCAGGAGCGGGCGGGTGGAATGATAAACTGCAGTCCCACAAACTAAATATGAGCGTTAAGTAAAATATCCAAAGATTCATGTTTGCCTCATACATCATTTGTGCTGGAGATTTTATTTTACACAATTTTACAATTTGCGGATGTGGTCTAATCTCATGCACGTTTTAGACAATTCCTTTCTGCTGCTCCGTGTTTGATAGAGTTTAAGAAAGAGAATGTTCCCCATCTTGAGGGATTTTGCGGGCGACAGCGGGACAAAATATCACAGATGCGGGCGGGAGCGGGACGGAAAATTACAATTCTTTGTGGAAGACTGAAATTTCTGTCCTGTGCAGACCTCTAATCCAGAACAGGTGCTCCTCAAGAACGAGGCTCAAAAGCAAAAACATATACTGGAGATGATCAAGCTTTTACTGCAAAAACTTACTGTGACAAAGCATAATTATTAAACTATAACGATTAAAGGACTTTTATTCCTTTTAATTTGGACTTTTTGACCGCTTTTTACTTTATCACAGCAAGTTTTTACATTACAAGCTCGGTCATCTGCGCTACGGTAAATATTAAATCATTGTATTTTGTTTTCTGTATAGTCCCTCAGTGGTCCATGGGTTTGTACCAGTCTCTTCACACTTATACTTGTTCTCATGCAGCTCAAAATCATTCTAAACCGATTCAGGAAAGGTTCTTTTTTAGTATCGATACCTGCTCAAATGAGTATCTAGTTTTAATATCGATTGGCGTCTGATTTCTGCTACTTTTGACGACCCTGGAGGAAGATTCAAACGTGTTTTTTACAGCAAAATCGACGAGCCGGGCAGATTTTTTCCAGTTATTTAATAAGATCAAACTGTGTAGATAAAACTACAGAGAGAAACGTGTACGATTGGGCATCTGACAGTTCTGAGACGTTCTCCCGCGTTTCTTCTGAGCTCGAAACTGCTTTAAGTCAAGTCGACGTGGCACTATTTTAAAACATAAAAAAATCAATAAAAGTAATAACTCACAGCTGTCTGACATTCAACATTTTTATTTTATTACATTTTCTGTTGGGTTTTTGATGCGTTCCCTTCGACTGTTGGCTCGTGCGTCTCCACAGCCGAGGTTTTCAAATGTCACTTTGGAATCAGAAGACCCCGCGTGCCCTTTGCTCGGTGTTTGTCAGAAGAATGTGAAGAGCCGAGCGAGACGTGCGGCCGAGGCTGATCCGCGCTGTCAGGATTCACTCTTCACATATGGAACATTCATTATTAAAGGTGGATTATGTAACTTCTCCGATGGAGGCTCCGTGGAAATGTGTTTCTCTGTGGAGATGTTGTTGGTTTGTCTGGAGTGTTTCAAATCCATGTGTCGCGTGTTCGTTTGTTTTTCAAAGTAAAATCAAAAATGAGAAAATGTAAAAAGAAAACAACGATTTTTTTCATTATTTGTTTTATTTATTTCACCAAAACTAAAATGAAAAAACGGTCAATGATTTGTTTTTTAGTTTTTGATTTTTTTTTTTGACTAAACCAGGACTAAACCGGTCTCATTCTTGGTCTCAGGACCAAGACCGGTAGGTCTGGTTCCGGTCTCAGTCCTGATCCTAGTTCCGGTCTTGTCCCAGTCTCAGTCCTGGTCTGCTCTTGGTCTCAGTTCTGGCCACAGTCCTTGTCTCAGTCCTGGTCTCAGTCCCAGTCTCGGTCCCAGACTCAGTCCTAGTCAGGACTGAGACCGAGACTCAGACTGGGACCAACCAGGACTCAGACCAGAACCAGACCAGGACTGAGACCGGGACCAGACCAGGACTGAGACCGGGACCAGACCGGAACCAGACCAGGACTGAAACTGGGACCAGGATCAGGACTGAGACCGGGACCAGACCGAGACCGGGAACAGGATTAGGACTGCGACCAGGACCAGACCGGGACTGAGGCTGGGACTGAGATTAGTTTAGTCCTGGTTTAGTCCTAGTTTAGACCTGGTCTAGTCCTGGTTTAAATCTGTTAAACCTGTTTTAGTCCTGGATTAGACCTGGTTTAGTCCTGGTGCAGGCCGTTATCCGTTTATTCAATTTTTCATTTAAACACAAAATCAAAACCTGAAAAAACAAATCATTACCTGTTTTTTCATTTTGGTTTAAAAAAAAAAAAAAAAAACATAATTTTTTCGTTTTCTTATTTTTGGTTTTATTTTGAAAAATGACTGAACGAATGATACACGGATTGTTCCACAGTGTGGCATTAAACTTTTCTATCTTCATGGAGACCAAACCAGACCAAGTTACAGGTCAGATCTGTGTTTTTTTGAGCTATAAAACCTCCTGTAATTGAATAAATGTAAAGTAGAGCTGTTTAAAGTCACACTGTGGAACATTCCAGACAGATCAATGGCATATCCATAGAAACGAGCAGGTGACGTGCCTTTAACAAAAAAGTTACACAGTGCACGTTTAAGAAATTCTCTTTTTCACCCACATTTTTATGACGAAGACCAGAACTGCAGAGATTTTAAGAGCGAGATATTTGTTTTTTTGTATTTTCGATTCTCTTGATAAATTCACGTGGTTTATTGCTTTTTCTCCGGGGGCTGCTCATGCTCATTATCCTTGGCTTCAAACACTGTTGATTCTTTCATTGTTAATCTATGTTTTTGTATCCACATAAATAAATGAAAACTCTGACTAATTAACTATTAAAATAATTGACGGACTATTTTAACTCTTAAATGTGAATTAATTAATGAACAAGTTTTTCATCAGTAAAACACCATTATGCAAAATTCAAATATTCTCCATCTTCTCCAGCCTTCAGTATTTTTATTTTTACTGTTGTCTGATAAAATGTGCTTAAAAAATTCACTAATAAGGCAACTAATTAAAAAAATAAAAATAAAAATCACTGCAGATGGTTAGTTACAGTCCTGATGCTAAAATGAATTTTGACGGCAAATGAAATGCAATGCAGTTGTTAATTTCTTTTAATTAAATTTTTTTGTTTTAGTTAATTTATAGTTGCATTTTCTTTCTTTTTTTTTTTTTTAAATATTGCACTACCTCAGTTTGTGTGTGGGTCCCATGAGTAAAAATAATTAGAGCTGTTCCCCGTCCTCTCTTCTGTTCATTTCGATGCCGTTGTTGTTGTTTGTCTCACAGCTGATAAAATTATCCATAAATGTGATTAATGGAACTGTGCTCTTACGCATGGTCCTGGTTAAATCCTGTTTTAGTCGTGGTTTAGAACAGATTTTTGTCCTGGTTTTAGTTCTGGTTTAGTCCAGGGTTAAATCCTATTTTAGTCCTGGTTTAGAACTGTTTCTAGTTGTGGTTTAGTCCTTTTTTAAGTCCTAGTTTTAGTCCTGGTTTAGAACTGTTTCTAGTTGTGGTTTAGTCCTGGTTTTAGTTCTGGTTCAGTCCTGGTTGGTTAAATCCTGTTTTAGTCCAGGTTTAGAACTGTTTCTAGTCGTGGTTTAGTCCTGGATTAGTCCTGGTTTAATCCTGGTTTTTGTTTTGGTTTTAGACCTGGTTTAGACCTGATTTAGAACTGATTTAGAAATGGTTTAGAACTGATTTTAGTCCTGGTTTAATCCTGGTTTAGTTCTGTTTTAGAGCTGGTTTAGAACTGATTTAGAACTGATTTAGAAATGGTTTAGAACTGATTTTAGTCCTGGTTTAATCCTGGTTTAGTTCTGGTTTTAGAGCTGGTTTAGAACTGATTTAGAGCTGATTTTAGTCCTGGTTAAATCCTTTTTTAGTCCTGGTTTTAGTTCTGGTTTAGTGGCGCGGGAAACGCAGGAAGAGGCACAGTCCACGCGGCGTATGAGACGAGGGGTTTGCACTTTCTCGGCCCGTTACCAAACGACCCAGGGCCCAGTACTGGTCCAGGGCCTGAGTATTGGGGACCCCTGATCTCCCAGACAGATAGATAAATGCTTTATTAATCCTGAAGGAAATACATGTTTCAGCATCAACAACGAAACATAATAATAATGTATGTACTGCAAATCCCAGTCCTTTTACCCCCCTGTACCTGTGTTCCCGTGTTCTCGTGTTCCCTTGTTCTGGAGTTCTCGTGTACCCGTGTTCCCATGTACCCGTGTTCCCAAGTACCCGTGTTCTCGTGTTCCCGTGTTTTCGTGTACCCGAGTTCTCGTGTTCCCATGCACCCGTGTTCTCGAGTACCCGTGTTCTCCTGCTCCCATGTACCCGTGTTCTCGAGTTCTCCTGCTCCCGTGTACCCGTGTTCCCATGTGCCCGTGTTCCTATGTACCCATGTTCTCGTGTTCTCCTGCTCCCATGTACCCGTGTTCCCATGTACCCGTGTTCTCGTGTACCCGTGTTCTCGTGTTCCCAAGTACCTGTGTTCTCGTGTACCTGTGTTTTCGTGTTCCCGAGTTCTCGTGTTCCCATGCACCCGTGTTCTGTTCTCGTGTACCCGTGTTCCCATGTACCCGTGTTCTCGAGTACCCGTGTTCTCGTGTTCCCATGTACCCGTGTTCTCGAGTACTCGTGTTCCCATGTACCCGTGTTCTCGTGTACCCGTGTTCTCGTGTTCCCATGTACTCGTGTTCTCCTGCTCCCGTGTTCCCATGTACCCGTGTTCTCGTGTTCTCCTGCTCCCATGTACCCGTGTTCCCATGTACCCGTGTTCTCGTGTGCCCGTGTTCCCATGTACCCGTGTTCCCGTGTTCCCGTGTTCTCCTGCTCCCGTGTGCCCGTGTTCCCATGTGCCCGTGTTCCTGTGTTCTCATGTACCCGTGTTCTCGTGTGTATCCGTGTACCGTGTGCCCGTGTGCCCGTGTATACCCGTGTGCTCATGTGCCCGTACCTCTTTGCCAGCCTCGTGCACCATGAAGAGCAGGTTGGTGGAGTCGGAGAGGCTGAAGCTGAATCGGTCTTTGAGGGAGTTGGAGCCGTCGTGGTTGTAGCTGATCCGGTTCTGGTAGATGTCGTCCATGGTGAAGGAGCTGGTCTGGCGGTAGCTCTGGCCGTTGTGCGTTCGCTCGATGGTGCCGTGACGAGGCGGCTGCACCACGGTGAAGACGAGCGACTCCGCCTGGGCACGGACAGAGAAACAGACTTTAAATGGTGTGTTTTGAAACGAACCTATTCTGCAAAATCGACTTTTCACAGTTTCAGTAGTAGTAGTAGTAGTAGTAGTAGTAGTAGTGGTAGTAGTGGTAGTAGTAGTAGTAGTAGTAGTAGTGGTAGTAGTAGTAGTAGTAGTAGTAGTGGTAGTAGTAGTAGTGGTAGTAGTAGTAACACGCGCATCGAACGAACACGCGCATGCGAACGAACACGCGCATCGAAACGAACACGCGTATGGAACGAACACGCGCATCGAACGAACACGCGCATGGAACGAACACGCGCATCGAACGAACACGCGCATCGAACAAACACGTGCAGTGAACGAACACGTGTATCGAACGAACACGTGCATCGAACGAAGACGTGTATCAAATGAACACGTGCATTGAACGAACATGTGCATCGAACGAACACGTGTATCGAATGAAGACGTGTATCGAATGAAGACGTGCATTGAACGTACACGTGTATCGAACAAACACGCGCATTGAACGAACATGTGCATCCAACAAACCTGCGCATCAAATGAACACGTGCATCGAATTAACTTGCTCATCGAACGACCACGTGTATCGAATTAACATGCGTATCGAACGAAGACGCACATCGAACGAACACGCACATCGAACAAACACACATATAAAATTAACACGTCCATCGCACGAACAAGTGTATCGACCAAAAACGGACACGTGCATCAACCAAACACGTGCATTGAACAAACAGGTGTATCGACCGAAAACGAACAAGCGAATCGTGGGATCAGTATCGCACGATTCCATAACATATTGAATATCGTTGCATTTCTAATGCCCGTCGCTCTGTACTTACTTCGTTCTTCAATTTTATTTCCTTAATTTGTGATACTCGTAGGAATCAGCAGCGTCGAAGAATCATTTTCGTACAAATTTTTAAAATCTGCTGCTCCGTGTGATCTGCCGTTATCCGTCTGAAGTGCCCATAATTTCACAGCTCTTTGTTGTGTCGTTTTAGATCAATATTGCAATTTAAGATGTAATTTTTCACAATTCTCAGAGACCAGAGTGCAGTTAAGTTAAAGACCAAAATTAGCATGCTAAGGCGCACTTCCTGATCCACACAATAAAACCCTTTGCGATTAGTACGGCACTTTAAAACTCCTCTGAAAAGTGCGATTTCCCGATAATGAAAAACGGCCTCATCTGAACAATTTCTCCTCACTGGAAAATAAATCTACGTTTTTTTTTCTTTTTTCTTTTACCAAACACATTTTGATTTGAAAGTTCAGTCGGGTTCAGCGTGTTCCTCCATCACTCGTGAACATGTCGCTCTAATGCGCCTCACGCTGGACTTCTTTCATTGTGCAGAGGAAGGTGAGGGACGCCGAGTCATTTGGAGCGCAGGAGGAAATTGCGGCGGGACGGAGATGAATAGGCCCCGAGAGACGACGCTTCAATCGGCTTTTCTTTAAAAAACACAAATTGAAGTCGGAGGGAAACAAAAAAACAACAAAAGTAACGACATTTTTATCACTGTTCGTACGATTTAGGTTGTGTAACGGTGAATGAATGTTCTGCCAGGGGTCCGGCTTTAGACCTGATTTAGTCCTGGTTCAGTACTGGTTTAGTCCCAGTTCAGTTCTGGTTCAGTCCTGTTTTAGTCCTGCTTTAATCCTGGTTCACTCCAAATTAAGTTCTGGTTTAGTCCTAGTTGAGTCCTGGTTGAGTCCTGTTTTAGTCCTGTTTGAGTCCTGGTCGAGTCCTGGTCGAGTCCTGCTTTAGTCCCAGTTCAGTCCTGTTTTAGTCCTGGTTTTAGTCCTGCTTTAGTCCTGCTTTAGTCCTGGTTTAGTCCTGCTTTAGTCCTGCTTTAGTCCTGTTTTAGTCCTGGTTCAATCCTGTTTTAGTCCAGTTTTAGTCCTGGTTCAGTCCTGGTTGAGTCCTGCTTCAGTCCTGCTTTAGTCCTGGTTTAGACCTGCTTTAGACCCACTTTAGTCCTGCTTTAGTCCTGGGTGAGTCCTGCTTTAGTCCTGGGTGAGTCCTGGTTTAGTCCTGTTTTAGTCCTGGCTTAGTCCTGTTTTAGTCCTGGTTCAATCCTGTTTTAGTCCTGTTTTAGTCCTGCTCTAGTCCTGGTTGAGACCTGCTTTAGTCCTGCTTTAGTCCCAGTTTAGTCCAGTTTTAATCCTGGTTTTAGTCCTGTTAAAGTGCAGTTTTAGTTCTGGTTTAGTCCTGCTTTAGTCCTGTTTATTTGCAGTTTTAGTCCTAGTTTTAATCCTGCTTTAGTCCTGTTCAAGACCAGTTTTAGTCTTGGTTTAGTCGTGGATTAGTCCTGGTTTAGTCCCGGTTTAGTCCTGGTTTAGTCCTGTTTTAGTCCTGCTTTAATCCTGGTCCAGTCCTGGTTTATTCCTGGTCCAGTCCTGGTTTATTCCTGTTTTAATCCTGTTTAAATCCAGTTTTACTCCAGTTTTAGTCCTGGTTCAGTCCTGGTCCAGTCCTGGTTTATTCCTGTTTTAATCCTGTTTAAATCCAGTTTTACTCCAGTTTTAGTCCTGGTCCAGTCCTGGTCCAGTCCTGGTCCAGTCCTGCTTTATTCCTGGTCCAGTCCTGGTTTATTCCTGGTCCAGTCCTGCTTTATTCCTGGTCCAGTCCTGGTTTATTCCTGTTTTAATCCTGTTTAAATCCAGTTTTACTCCAGTTTTAGTCCTGGTCCAGTCCTGGTCCAGTCCTGGTCCAGTCCTGGTCCAGTCCTGGTTTAGTCCTGGATTAGTCCTGGTTTAATCCTGTTAAATCCAGTTTTAGTCCAGTTTTAGTCCTGGTCCAGTCCTGGTTTATTCCTGTTTTAATCCTGTTTAAATCCAGTTTTACTCCAGTTTTAGTCCTGGTCCAGTCCTGGTCCAGTCCTGGTCCAGTCCTGGTCCAGTCCTGGTCCAGTCCTGGTCTAGTCCCGGTTCACCTCTGTGTCTGCGTCCGTGGCCTTCAGCTCAAACTCGGTGATGGTTTTCCTCACTCCCTCCTGGACTCTCATCCCGGGGACGGAGAGCAGAGGCAGAGAGTCGTCCACCGGTTTGATCGTGATGTAGAAGGTCTGGGCCACCTGCAAATACCACCACAAATACACACAAAAGTACAAATAAATATATAACACAGTACGTATAAATATATAAAACACTGATGATACATAAACACAAAGTACATAGTATAAATATATATAATAAATAGTAAAATATATAGAGAACAAACAGCAGGTTCTTAAGAGCAGATCTCTGTCCAACTGTGTACGAGGTTCAGAAAGATGAAGAAATACTTTTACTACTACTACTACTACTACTGCTAATACTGCTACCACTACTACTACTACTACTACTACTACTACAAGAACTACTACTACTATCATTAGAGTTACTACTACTACATCTACAATTACAGCTGCTACTACGACTACTATAACTACTATCAATACAGCTACTACTACTACTAAAGCTACTGCTAGTACTACTACTACTACTACTACTACTACTACAAGAACTACTACTACTATCATTAGAGTTACTACTACTACATCTACAATTACAGCTGCTACTACGACTACTATAACTACTATCAATACAGCTACTACTACTACTAAGCTACTGCTAGTACTGCTACTACTACTACTACTACTACTACTACTACTACTACTACTCCAAGAACTACTACTACTATCATTAGAATTACTACTACTACATCTACAATTACAGCTACTACTACTACTACTTCTACTATTACTACTACTACTGCTACTACTACCAGTACAGCTATTATTACTACAACTAATAAAACTACTGGTAGTACTACTACTGCTACTGTTACTACTACCATTACAACTACTACTACTAAAGCTACTGCTAGTACTACTACTACTACTACCATAAGAACTACTACTACTACTACTGCTGCTGCTACTACTGCTACTACTACTACTACTACTACTACTCCAAGAACTACTACTACTATCATTAGAATTACTACTACTACATCTACAATTACAGCTACTGCTACTACTACTACTACTTCTACTATTACTACTGCTACTACTACTACCTTAAAGCTACTACTACTACTACTACTACTGCTACTACTACCAGTACAGCTATTATTACTACAACTAATAAAACTACTGGTAGTACTACTACTGCTACTGTTACTACTACCATTACAACTACTACTACTACCACTACCACTATTACAGCTATTATTACTACTACTACTACTACTTCCATTTAGGCTACTCCTACTCCTACTACCATAAGAACTACTACTACTACTAATACTACTAATACTACCACTAGTACTACTTCTTCTACCATCATACTACTGATACTACCAATACAGCTACTGCTACTACTACTACTACCATTAGAACTACTACTATTAGTACTACTATGACTACTACCACCATACCAATATTACCAATACAGCTGCTGCTACTAATACTACAACATTTAAAACTACTACTACTACTACTACTACTACTACTACCCACCATTACAGGTATTACTAGGTGTGTTTACAAAGTGATTAACAATTTAAAACTAAATGTTTTCTCTTGTGAATGTGAAAAAAATGTGATGCTCAGAGGTTTGTGTTTGACTCGTGCTTGTACTGTCCACTTTTCATTCAAACTTTATCAAACTGTTAAAAAAATAAAAAAAAAAAAATGTTCTCACTGGCCCAAAGTTGAGAAGTTGCCCGTGTTTTTTTTTTTTTTTTTCCCTCCGTCTGGCAGCAGTCGTGGTGTTGTGCTGCTTAATTAACACATGGACCTGAGAATGTGTCGGCGCTGGTCAATTTAAGTCACATTTAAAGCCAAACGGACGATCCCTGGTGCGTTTGGGTTTTGTTTTGGCCTGAAGCGTTTCCTCGTCCTCCAGCCCACACCCCCCTCCAAAATATAACATCTCAAACTCCAACCGACGAGGCCGATACGTGCGCAGAGTCTCACATTTTACCTCCAGATTAGTGCGGTTCTGGTCCTGGTTTAGTCCTGGTCTAGTCCTGGTTTTAGTCCTGGTTTTAGTCCTGGTTTAGGTCTGGTTTAGTCCTGGTTTAGTCCGGGTTTTAATCTGGTTTAGTCCGGGTTTAGTCCTGGTTTAGTCCTGGTTTAGTCTGGGTTTTAGTCTGGTTTAGTCCGGGTTTAGTCCTGGTTTTAGTCCTGGTTTTAGTCCCTGGTTTTAGTTAGTCCTGGTTTTAGTCTGGTTTAGTCCGGGTTTTAGTCTGGTTTAGTCCGGGTTTTAGTCTGGTTTAGTCCGGGTTTTAGGTTTTAGTCTGGTTTAGTCCGGGTTTAGTCCTGGTTTTAGTCTGGTTTAGTCCTGGTTTTAGTCTGGTTTAGTCCGGGTTTAGTCCGGGTTTTAGTCTGGTTTAGTCCAGGTTTAGTCCTGGTTTAGTCCTAGTTTAGTCCGGGTTTATTCCGGGTTTAGTCCGGGTTTTAGTCTGGGTTTTAGTCCTGGTTTAGTCCTGGTTTGGTCCTGGTTTAGTCCGGTTTAGTCCTGGTTTAGTCCTGGTTTAGTCCGGGTTTAGTCCGGGTTTAGTCCTGGTTTAGTCCTGGTTTAGTCCTGGGTTTAGTCCTGGTTTAGTCCTGGTTTAGTCCTGGTTTAGTCCGGGTTTAGTCCGGGTTTAGTTCCTTTTTATGATTCATATATAATAATCTTGTTTTCAGACTCAATGAGGTTTGCTCTGCTACTACAACTTGTACTACAACTACAAGTACTACTACTATTACAACTTTTACTACTACTACTACTACTACTACTATTATTACAACTACTACAACTACTACTACTACTACAACTACTACAACTACTATTACAACTACTACTACAACAACTACTACAACTACTACTACAACTACTACTACTACAACTACTATTACAACTACTACTACTACTACTACTACAACTACTATTACAACTACTACTACTACTACAACTACTATTACACTACTACTACTACTAACTACTACTACTACTACTACTACTACTACTACTACTATTACAACTACACTACTACATTACTACTACTTACAACTACAACTACTACAACTACTACTACAACAACTTACTATTACAACAACTACTACTACTACTACAACTACTACTACTACAACTACTATTACAACTACTACTACAACTACTACTACTAGTGGGCGGCAGTAGCTCAGTGGGCGGCAGTAGCTCAGTTGGTAGAGCATTCGCCCACTGATCTGAAGGTTGGCGGTTCGAATCCAGCTCTTGACATAAACATCACAGGTTGAGTGGTCAGATCCACTGACCCACAGGTTGGCTGGTGTGATTCCAGCTCCCACAGATGAATGCTGCCGTTGTGTCCTTGGGCAAGACACTTAACCCACCTTGCCCACAGTGTCTGCGTACACTGGTGTGTGAATGGGTGAGTGGTTCCTTGTTGTAAAGCGCTTTGAGTGCCTTGAAGGTGGAAAAGCGCTATAGAAAAATGTGACCATTACTATACAACAAACTACTACTACTATTACAACTACTATACAACTACTACTACAACTACTATTACAACTACTACTACAACTACTACTACTACAACTACTATTACAACTACTACTACTACAACTACTATTACAACTACTACTAACTACAACTACTATTACAACTACTACTACAACTACAACTACTATTACAACTACTACAACAACTACTACTATTACAACTACTACAACTACTACTACTATTACAACTACTACTACAACTACTATTACAACAACTACAACAACTACTACTACTACAAGTACTATTACAAACTACTACTACAACTACTACAACTACAACTACAACTACTACTACAACTACAATTACAACTACTAACTACTAATTACAACTACTACAACTACAATTACAACTACTATAACTACTACTACTACTACTACTACTACGACTACTACTACAAGAACTACAACTACTGCTAGTATTACTTCTACTACTAGTATTACTACTACTTTTAAACTACACACACTTTCACTAGAATCATCTGGATCATTTCAGACTTGGAATTTGCTGATTTCTCGTGAACTAAAGGTAAAAGGATCTGTTCACTTCAAAAACACAATAGAACGTGAGTTTCAACATGACATAATCGTAAATAAAACAAAATAAAAGTTTACACTGGTCTATGTGCTGCGATACTTGTTCTGATACACCTCAAGATCATTCTAAAGCGATTCGGGAAAGGTTCCGGAAGTTCGTAAAACCGTAAAACATGAAGAACTTCCGGGAGTGGAACCCACAGCCTCCTGACCTCGTTGTTGCCGTCGGATACGGTGAAGGAGAACTGGTCGGCGTGTTTCTCCTCTTCGCTGGTGTGGACGTACTGGACGCTCCGAGACGCCAGATCAGCCTGAGTGAACGAGCTGATCCTGGAGC